ATTACATCATAAATATATATATATATATAGACACTATCCAGTGAACAAAAAAGAAAAGATAAAGTCTAATTTTTTTTTCTTTTTAAATCTTTCATATGATAATATGTCATTTGTTTCTCATTTACTTTCTTTTATAATATTATCTGGTCTTTGTTTATTTTCACCATTAAAATCTAATGTGATATATCAATTGGATGTAAAAGTAAAACGACATTTTCTTCGAAATCTATTTGTTAATAACCGACAAAAAAATGATATACTCTCAATGCCGTCAACCAGTATTATATCGAAATGTTGTATAAAATCAAGAGTAAATAATGATAAAGAATTTTATTTAAAAATAATTCTAAATTGTTCAGATATTTGATTGTTTTCTTGGGTAAATATTATCTTTGGTATACCTATTGACGATTTCAATAAATATTATATAAATAGTCGATTGTTCTCTTACCATTGAATTTAAATTGAATTCTAATAATTCATTCCTTCGTTTATTTTTCCTAATATAATACATATGATAAAAAAAAACAAACAATTTATCTTTTAATTCCAACTGAGAAATAATTATTTTTTCTTTTTCAATATACATTAGTTCTATAAATTATCTCTGATATAAATCAAAATAAAATGTATCAGTGAAAGAACTAATGATAAAAGAGTTCTTCTATGGAATCTATTAGATATTCTCTTAGGACATTCTTTTAAATTAATCTCATTTAATATTAATCATTGTTTTTATGAAGAAAAACATAGATCATTTGTTTTAGAATTGATCCTCTATAGAAGACCCTAACACGACAAAAAAAAAACTCTATTATAGCTTAGAGAAAAATAAAAATAAAAATAAAAGTAAGGTTACGAGTGGAACTGGTAAATCTCTCGAGATAAATGCATATTCTTCTATTTTTTCAGATTCGACTTTACGATATCTTTAAGTTTATATCTTTCGTTACATTGTTGCTTTTATTTAAAATAGAAAAATCAAAGTGATATTATGCACTTATATAGTTATCATTCAATAAGATATATTTATTGTGAATATTCATTTCGTCTCAAAAAATAGATAGATAGACAGATTAAAAAAACCGAGTCGAATCAAGTCGATTAATTTTTAATCATTTAGCTTTCAGTTCATTTATTTATTTTCTTTCGATTTTACTGTTTGAATATAATTTTATTTCTCTCTATTATTTCCTATACTAAAACATACAGGATATTATCTATCAAAAATCATTTTTCATATTTTATATTCTAATAGAAATTTTACCATATATAAATATATATTAGACCATAAGACAAATCAATTAGAAAATAATTCAAAAACTATTATTGACAAAGCCTACCATCCTCTCCAGGGTTTCCCCGCACCCACACCAAGAGAAATGTAGTGTCAGTTGTTTTACTGTCAATAAGCCCAAACAGTAGTTGAACGTGGAGATTCTGGCAGACCCTGCTTTAACAATTTTGCATTATGTTGTAATTAATGTTTTTTGAAAAACTTTGTAACTCATTTGCGTCATTCAGTGATATATATATATATATATATGAATTTAATAGGAACATTCTCCTGTCGGGTTCTCTGAGAAAAATAAATTCTGATGGAATTTCTCAATTTTGTGATATATTTCTTGTTAGATATAAGAAAATATCTACTTTAGACTAAACTGTAATAACGTGATATTTTATTTGATCGTTATCCGTTGAGATTTCTATATAGTTTGTTTTCTCTTTCTAATAAATGTATAACTATTATTGTTTTCCAAATAAATTTGATTCGTACCCTTAAGTTTTAATAATTTTCAAAAAGAAAAATAAAAACACTTAACGATAGTTTAACAAAAATAACCAGTTCGTTCTATAGAGGAAAAAGGAGTTGATTCTATTGTACTGATAAGAATAGTAAAAGAAAAGATTGATATCGAATAGTTTTGAAAATAATTTCGTACCTTGAGAGATCTAAGTAGAATATAATAAAATAAATTTCGATATTGATTTGATGGTCGTTGGAATAAATATGTGTATGTGTAATCATTATGACAAGACGATAAATATATATCTATGATCAATCACCTATTATGGACATAAAACTAAAATATAAAGGAAAATAGAATTTTTCGTTATGAATTCTCATATTTAAATAATGTTAATAAAAAGGATAAGAATAGAAAGAATTTTCTTTCTAATAAAATAAAAAATAATAAGATTGAAACCAATGTCGAAATTCTATTTTATTTGATTATATTAAATATGGTTGTTGAATTCTTCGATTATTATTCCCAGTAGAATAATTTTCATCAGTTCGAACGAAAAGTAAAAATCGTAAAAATCGATGAATTTTGATTATTAATTTATAATTATGTTTTATTTAATCTATATATAATTAATGATATAAGTTTGCTTTTTTTTCTCAACTAATCTATCAGATTTATTTAAAACATGACTTATTAATGATTTTGTTAAATCATCTAGAAGAATATTGATCATAAATAATGTATCGTTAACATGAGGATAAAATAAACTCTTAATTAGTTTTGGTTTTGAAAAAGTGATCTTCTAGAATTTGTTAATGGACTATGAGAAATAAATTGAATGTAGCTAATTTTATTCAAATTATCTTTTATCTATATGAAATAAGGAATTTTCCATCGTATTTATATTTAAAATAAATGATAATCTGAGGAAAACGATAGATATTCTATTCTATGAAATGAATAATTTTCGAAAAAAAAAATTTTCTTTTTGTTTTAATCTAGACTTTCTCTTTAATGAACTTTAAAATTGTTTTGATAAAATTTTTCTTTTTCTACATAAATTCTTTCTATTAAGATATGGTTACTTCAAATCGATATTTATATATAAACAGTGGGTGTGGGTGGGTGTGTGGGTGTGGGTGTGGGTGTGGGATTGGGCGTGATTGTGGGGAATAGATGGTGTGCTCTGGTGGAGTGTCTTTGTGCTGTCTAACTGCACCCTCACCACGACTGACCAACCCCAACACTCACACACCCAGAACCACACCCTCTCCCACACCCACACCCACACCCACACCCACCCACACCCACACCCACACCCACTCACACCCACACCCACTCACACCCACACCCACACAAATTAAAGTAATTTTAGATGATGAAATGAAAATGACTAGTGAACGTTTACATAATCCATCAATGCTTTTATTTATTTATAATGGACGTCACTTATTGAAATTTTAGCAAAAAAAGAAAGTGGATCATCAACAGTAAATAAAATACAAATGTATTAAATATATTTTTATTTTATTAATATTAGGGAAAATGTTACTCAACGATTACGTGATCCATTATTATTTGATTCAGCTACAATTCTTGCAGCATGGGGTATGGGTGTGGGTGTGAGTCTTCTGTTCTGTTACGCCCACACCCATACCCACAAATGAGACTGTCAAGCTCGACTTTGTCGAACTTTCTAAAGCTTTTTTTCTCAAAACACTCAGATTGTTTGCCATAATTGTACAAATTGAAAAAATCAGCAACGGATGTTTTATCGTACAGTTAAAAGCGTTGTTTCTCATGGCGCAGAATGAAGTTCGTTTTAGCCAAGTATTATGACTAAATTCCTATATAATCTCTTGAAAATGAGTCCAAAACGATCAACATTTGGCTTATTTTACTCATTTCATTCGGAGAAAACATATTGAAGTTCAAACGTTTGTGTGTGATGCACCATTAATTTCTCTTGAAAAGAAAAGTAAAACAAGCTCAAAAGAGTTCATGGTTGATCAAGATTAGCAGAATTTTCTCAATACTTCGGAACTCCTGATCTAAAGACGTGCTTCATGCAAAATTTAAAAAAAAAAAAGACTATCCTGCGCTGTATATTGTTACGCTGAAATGTTTTTTATGGCAGCTAAAAGACAGCTTTTCAAGCGCTACAAAATGGCTAGTTAAGTTTTTTACTGCCTCAAAATGCCAATGAATAAAACCAAAAAGAAACTTATTTGTTGTACAGAAATTTTAGAAAGTTTCACATATTGGAGCTTCACAATTTGACTTGTTCGATTTTTCATATTTCAATGTCAAATCAAGCGGTCATACAAATTCTTGTAGAGAATTTCATGGCGCATCTTTTGATAACAAAAATAATAAAAACGGTTGAGCCTCTATAAAGAAAATCGGAAGGAAAAAAATTACCCATTTCCTCTGGACCACCCGTTGTTTTCTGTATTTTGAAATAATAGATTATTAGTTTATTTGTTAATCTTCTTGACATTGATCCAATGTGTATTTCTAACAGTTCAATGTCGAGAATTTTTATTGATCGAGAACATGATTTGATGATGAATTAATGATGAGATTCCCATCACCGTAGATTTGTTTGTCTTTTCTTCAGTTTAGTTCGCTATCGTTCATATCAACACAAAAATTAGTTGTATTTTCTTGATAATAAAATAAAAAAGAATTTCTTAAGTCGTGATTAATAATTTTTTTTCGCAGTTCAATCATAATTAAAATATTAGTAATAATTTCAATTAACTTTATGTGTTCTCTACTCCTAATACAAAAGAACAACACGATAGGTTCGGAGTTTTAATCATATATCGATAATATAATAACAGAAATGATCGATTCAAACAAGTTTCATTCTATGCAGTATAGATAAAAAGTTCGATTGATTAGAAATATTGAATAGGAGAATGATTCAAAAGGTTCCGCATGATTAGATGGGAAATCCGCCAGCTCCTAAAAGTTTTTCCGACTATATACAACATAGAAGATCATGTTATTCTGCACACATATAGATTATATTAATAGATTTTTATCTAATAAAAGTACACGTTTTTCTCAATCTTTTGTGTTAGATACAAAGCATGAAGACTTACTAACTGTGACAAATACTTTCACAAATGAATCTACAAGAGTCAATTGTTCTAAAGTAAAACGACTTTACATTAACAAATCAATTGTATTTCCAGAAAATGCCTATCATTATTTTCCTTTATAGTAATAAAATGTTTTATATCAAGCAAAAAAGATATCTGAGTTACTTTGAGTTTCACCAGTAACTGCTGACCATGAACGCCATACATTAATATTTTTAGAATCTGATACAAATGAATGATCTCTTTCATAATATTCTTTAATAAATATTGTTGATGTTTGATCATTATTTCGAAAAAGTATATAAAGTAAAATAACTTCACCATAATTAAATAATTTAAAAAGACCAGCTATACCAATTAATGAACTATTTAGTATAATATAAGAAGAATTTAATGAAGATGTTGAACAAACGAATCCAATTTGATCGATTAAAACAAGAAAACTAATAATAATAATAGCTGTTGCAAAAAGAGTTGAACAAAAATGAATAAGAATAGCGATAAGACAAGATATTGAACTACGTCGCCATATAACTAACCAAATACTAAGCGGAGAAATAAGTAAGAAAGGAAATGACCAGAAACCAATACCAAAATGATATGCACATGTTTGAGTCACTGTTGATGCTATTAGTAAACCTAATATAACAAGTACAGTAACTAATTGAGTAAGTGAAAATGAAAAATGAATAAGAATATTTAAAATTGAACGAAATTCATGTCGAATGTGACCATCATCCAAACTATTGGACATTCTAATGCTTATATCTTCACACTCAAAACCATATTAAACGGTTAAAAAATACGATAACAGATTTCACTTTTTCTCTCTTTCTTGTCTTTTATATAGAAAACAGTATAAATAGTAGATGAAAAAAGAAAAGAATTTCGATTTGTCAATATTACTACAATACAAAGAAAAGAACAAAGAGATAGATAAATTACTTATGCTTGTTCACTTATCACTCAAAAGACAAAAAAAATACTACATGAGACTAACATTGAATAAATAAAGACCATACTATTGATAAATGCTTGTAACTAACAAACAAAAAAATTTCATTATTTTTCTATCACATTAAATGGATAAACTACAAAGTATGATCTATTATAACAAACTGAGTATTCAATTTATATACACAAAAAAGAAATGTCAATTAAAAACTCATAAGGAATTTAACATAAACAATAAATACGTTCAATCAATTGTCGATAATGTCTTTTTCAAAGTAAGGTTAAATTGTTTTCAAAGACATTTAGTTTAGTTTTAGCTAATGTATTAAAATGAAAATCAATAGTTTCTGTCTATTCTTTTTGACAGATCATTTCTCATTAAAAACTATAAATATTTTCATCTATTTATGAACTAAAGATACACACGAACAACGATAAAAATACAATAGATAGAGATTTTTTATACGGAAAAAAGCCTTATTCTGAAAAAAGATCATATACAATAAAATGAGAAAAGTGAATAACATAATTACACAAAATGAGTTAAATATCCTCCTTTTTTTAAATAATATCAATCATTCGTTTAAAAACTTGGTAAACTATCATCCGAACCAAATGTCATGAAATAAATTACAATCGTTGTAAATAGAACGACATTAGCTGTCATTATGAAATCCATTGAACCAATATGAATCTAAATTTAAATATCATCAAATTAAATTAAAAAAAATTTCATTTTACTTACAGCAGTTGCTCGACACATAACTGCTGGTAAACCAAATGCAGAAATAACAATAATAACACTTGTTATAAATCACATTAAATCTGTACATGGATTTGAATCATGCATACTATAACTATCCGATGTACATCGACGTCCAATTCCTAATGGAATCAGACAAAGTACATAAAATATAATCACAAATGTTGACCACTAATTTGCTTCAAACAAAAAAAAAATTTTCATAAAAAAAAAAAGATTAAATATATCATAAATACATACTATTGAGCCAATGCACAACCTACGATTAGTAATGTAAGATCAATAGAAGCAAGAAAAGCCAGAAGAACAACGCTAGATAATACACAAATAATAAATATTTATATTTTATCAATAAAAATACTTGCCCTAAAAGAAAACCAAATTCAATTTTTCATACATCTTTTCTATAGACATGAAATATAAATGGGATTAATAGCAAAAAGAAAAACATAATGAAAGTTTATTTTTTTAATTCCATGGCCATGGATTAACACGATTTTTTCGCATTAAAAATTTTATTTTTTGTTTCATATCATTATTATAAATTTCATGTACTCTAAAAAGAAATAATAGATCTTATCAAATAAATAATAAATCTTTACATCTCATAAAACAATCGATCTTGTTTACGAAATGGTTTTTCATAATCATTCCCATAATCGAGCTGTTTTAAATACATCTTCATTATTTAATACTCTAAAAAAAAACATACAATCATTTTATTTATTTTTTAAATTCATATTGTTACCGATTTAAAGCTCGATAAGCTAAATCAACTTCACCATTTCGAATCCAAACTGTTCGTGCTAAAAATCTTGAATGAACGTTCCACATCTATAAAACAACAAATCTACAAAATTCATCAAAAGAAAACATGGAAAAAAAAGAACATATATATATATAGAATATTTATCTTCATTGAAGTTACAATTCCTCAGAAAAATATTTGACTATGTCAGATTATTATTTATCAAACAGATTTGTACTTTGCGATTAAGAAGAAGAAACTGTATTATGATTTGGACGAAAAAAATATCGTTTAACACGATTTGCTAATGATGATTTTGTTTTATTTGATTTCTAAATATTAAAAAAACAAATAAATTTTTGCTTTAAATAAAAATGAATATTTTATCAATATTTGTTGGTTGTTCATTTGCTAATCCAATCGTACTATATAATCTTTTTCAACGTGATGAAATAATTTCATTTTCATTTTCATGATTTATTATCGAAGCTGAATGCGTTCTATTTAAATAAGATTTTATTTCGTCTTCAGATGATTTATGATTATTTGAAAATGAAAAACGAAAATGAGAACGACGACATGTAGAAGATTTTTAGAGGGAAGAGCAGTAGGAAAACTATATTTAAAAAAAAAAAAGGAGAGAACTGCTGTAAAAAACATTTATTTCTATCAGAAATTTACAAAATATTTCTCGAGCTTTCGTACTCTTCTGAGTACATCTTCAGGAGTTACATTGTGATCAAAATGAACAGGAATATACAAAAAACAACAAAAAATATTAACTGAATTAATAAATAAACTAATGAGTACATAGATATACAAATATTTAATTAATAAAGAACCACATCATTTCGAGGGTGTGGATGTGGGTGTGGGTGGGTGTGGGTGTGGGTGTGGGGTGTGGGTGGGGGGCGGGCGTGTGGGTGTGGGTGGGGTGGGTGTGGGTGTGGGGTGTGGGTGGGTGGTGTGGGTGTGGGGAGATAACCCTAGGATCTCACAGTTAGCAATTCTAAGCAATTCAAGAAATTCTAAAGACACACACTCAGAGAAGACTAACAATTATAAGGCAACATATAATTATGGAAATTCAAGGAAATTTAGGAAATTCAAGCAAATCAAGCAACTCAGAGGAATTCAAGGAATTCAAAGAATTCAATAGACATCTAAATAGTAAGAGATACAGGGTGTGATACACCATGGAATTATGGAAA